CACCTAGCAAAAATAAGGGGAGCAGAATCTGGCTTTCTAAGAAGAAATTCCATTTTACTAATAATGTAAATGCAATATTGAGACAAGAATTGTTTCTTTTCAATTCTTTCAGAATTGTCTATGATTCCTGTGATTCCATGATTTCTTATTTTTATGTAACTTCTAAACTAAAGCTGCAAAGCCCAACAAAATACTTATATCACAAAAGTATTTCTAAGCATTTTTTCTAAGTTAGCATTTAAATAGCAAATAATAGAAAATTAAGGACCTTCCAATAATAACATAAAACATATCTTTGGCTTCTCTAGAGCTATCCAGTGAGCTATGTAACTCTTACCTTATATCATCCAAATGAAGTGGAGTAATAGCCTGAATCTGTGGAAATCATTTATGTAGGATTCTGTGTGGTTTCTTATTCAAATACATATGCTAAATTCTGGTGAAAATGCTGACACCTTTTGAAGAAGATACAAAGCAAATGTGATCAGTCAGTGACCCTGACTATACTTCAAAACTGCTCACCTGAAGTAATAAATTTCTTGAAGTCACCAGGTTCACACCAGGACAAGAGTACTCTATCTTATCTTACAGTTAGCAAAACAATAAACTGAAATTATGTTGTCAGAAACCATTGAATCATAAAATGGTTTGCACTTTAAGGGACTTTAAACATCCTCTAACTCCAATCCCCCTTCTTAATATTTAATCCACACCTATTCTCTTTCAGTTTAAAACCATTCACCTTGTCCTATCACCACATGACCTTCTAAAAAGTCCCTCTCCATCTTTCTTATAGGGCACCATAGGTACTGGCAGGCTGCTATATGATCTTCCTAGACCCTCTTTCTCCAGGCTGAATAACCCCAGCTCTCTCAGCCTGTCTTCATGGGAGAGGTGCTCCAGCCCTTTGATCATCATGAAATAGCCCAATAAATTTTTATGATCTTAAGAATATGATTTAAAAGACTCTGTCTTTAAGGTAACAATTCAATTTGGTTTGCTCTTTATATCAATAAATATGAACAAGTGTTTAAAGCCCTATCTATTTGTTGGAGGCATCATTTGTGAAAATGAAGAACAAATTCTCTATAAACTTAAAACCCAAGTCTCATGCTTGATTCCACAGCTGCTTTCTTTTACCAAGCATGACTATTTAAATGTAAAGGCATAAAAGCCAAAAAAACGCAAAACGTCCCAAAATATTTCTGAGTCTGCCACTATATAAAAGGTAATATTGAGCTTTCGTTCCAAAAACTGCCATCTTCTAATAAACCAAACAGTGGAATATCCAGAAGGAAATTCTGAAGGGATCCATTTCAGTAGTCATTGCTCAATGCCTTTTTCAGTCTCCCTCATCTGATTTCATCCCAACTACCCAAACTAATTTTTATTTTCTTCTGACTTTGTAATGGAACCACAGGGTTACATTCATAGATGATTAATGGTTTCCCTGGAGAGTGGCTTAGCAACACTATCTGCCAACTCCCTCAGCATACCCAGTTTGCCCCATCAGGGCTCAAGGATCTGTGGGTGTTAAGTCTGCCTAGACAATCTCTTCACAGTCTCTAAAACCAAGGGAAAGCCTTTCTTTCTCCAGCCTTCTCTCACCTCCAAGTTTTAGGAATCCTGAGGGCCATTCTCAGCAGTGAAACTGAGGAAAATAAGGCTTTCAGTAATTCTGCCTTCTCTGTGTTTTCTGTTACCAGAACATCCTTCTGATTCAGCAGCGACCCAACATTCTCCCCAATCTCCCTTTTAATGCTGCTGTACTTGGGAAGCCCTTCTCTTCTAAAGCCCTAAGCCATGGGATTCCCCTTAGTAGGTCTTTCAAGAGGCCAAAGTTAGCTCTCCAAAAGCTTGGGGATCTAGTCCTGCTTAATGCTTTGCTTCCTCCATGCAGGATCCTGAGTCCCACCATCTCAGGGTTACTAGAGCCAAGGCTGCCCCCAAACTTCATGTCTTCAACCAGCCCTTCATGGTTTGTTAGTACAAGGCCCAGCATGTGCCAGCTGTGTCCCCTCCCTGCCTCTTGCCCACCAAGAGGCATCCCTGAAGAGGAGAGTGAGAAACACAAGGGCTTGACACTGCAAGCATTGCTCAGCAATGACCAACCCCAGATGGTCACAAGTCGAATACAGGTTGACAGTGACAGGTACCAGCACTGCACAGACATCTGCCACAGAGCATTAGGACTTCTGGACAGAAGCAAGATGGATAAGTAAAAGACTTCGTGCAGATTTGAGATAAATAATAGAGTGGAAGACCTTGGTGCCTCCCTCTTTGTATGTGTAGCTCACCAGTCACCCTGAGGGGGATGGGCAAGGGGTCTCAGGCAAGAGATGCAGCAGTTCTGCAAGCCTGACTTTTGGCACTGCTTGTAAACATGAATCTTCTTATGGCTCAGACCTCATCTGATACCACTCTTTTTCTATATAGTACACTGCATAAAAGAAAAGAGCCCATGGCTTCCCACAGTGACAAAAGTTCATTGGCTATGTTCCCTCCCAGTCTCTGGGGGCTGCTTCTGGAGCAGAGCACAGTTATGGATGTGACAGAAGCTGCACTGAGGACAAGGACTGAGGACAAGGACTGTCTCTGTTGTGTTCCAAAACCACTTAGAAATCACATTATGATCCCTTGAGGATCTCGGTGTGCCCCATGAAAGTGCAATGTAAATTTGAAGATAAAATAGAAACATTCATAACATTTAATGTTTATACAGTTGAAGTGTAAAATATACTAAACTTAAAAATGACCATGTCCTTAACCACACAGGCTTTATAAGGAAGTCACACAAATAAAACATGTCCTGAAAACATCTTAACCTATGTTTCCTTATCATATTGAAATACTGATCAAAGTTCACACTATTAGTGACTGATAATGAAAGCTATAGAAACAGTTCAGTGTCAAGTGAAATGGTACTTCACAATAAATTAACCTATGTGGGATCATAATCTAATCTTTGTCACCTCTCTACTTTTATGTGTGATCTAAAAAAAACAGTAACAAAAACCCAAAGGAGAATCAAAAACACCCCTTAGAACCTTCAAAATCACAGAGAAGATCCCATTCACAGACAGATACCATGTTGATCCAGATGAAAGCATGAAGAGCACAGGGCAGACTTGACCCACTGTGTCCCTAAGGGAGAATTACCTCACTTACCCCTCAGCAGAGCACCCCCACCAGGGTTATGCTCTCTTGTGTGGCAAGAATTCTCTCTGAGGGCAATCACAAAACTGAGAAAGACAGGTAGTTACAGAAGTTCAAGGAGATTTTGGGATAGGAATGGCAATATAAAGTGCTCTAAACACATTCTCCACAGAGTTGACCTGCCTACCTGTCGAGGTTCTGTTCCACACCAATTAACAGTCCTCCCTATTCAGGTAGAATGAGTTTGTTTGTTGCTCTTCAGTTTATTTGGTTTGGTTTAAACTCAGCCCATTCACAATAGTGCATGAGACAGCAAAGGGATTTGAAATAGTTCCTGGCAATTTGCCTCTCCCTAAAATCTTGCTTTTATCATCCTGTAACCTTAGAATGAGCCAGAAGAATCTGGACAGAGAATTTTTTGCTTTACTGGTAGAATACTCCTTTAGAAGACATTACTCTTCTAAACAGACTTTATGGCAGTGGCAGACAGACACGTGAACTGTGAGAGGAGTCTGCTGCAGATTCAAATGAATCTGCAAACATAAATTGAAGCCTCTTTACCTAGAACTGCCCACCCACTCTAGATGGTGACAGTATAAGGATCTACTTCCATGGGAGATGAGTGTCTAAGTGCCTTTAACGGTTTATGGAGATCTGGTATGCTCTGGGATGTTTACCTACCTTCACAGTGGCTAACATGGGGTTGTGTCATGGATTTGTGCTGAGCAGAGTTGATAATACAGAGATGTGATTGCTGAACAGGGCTTACACAGAGCCTAGGCCTTTTCTGCTTTTTGTACCACCACTGTGGCAAGGAAGTTGGGAGTGTGTGGGAGGCTGGGAAAAGACACAGGTGGGACAGGTGACCCAAACTGACCAAAGGGATATTCCATACCATGTGATATCATGCTCAGTATATCAAGCTGGGGAGAAAAAGGAGGAAGGGGTGGGAGAGACACAACACATTTGGAGTGATGGACTTTGTCTCCCCAAGTAACTATTGCACAGGATGGAGCCCTGCTCTCCTGGAGATGGCTGAACACACCTATCTGCCAATGGCAAGGACTGAATTAATTCCCTCTGCTTGCTTGTACAGCTTTTGCTTTCCCTATTAAACTGCTTTAATTGAATTTAATTAATTGAAATATTAAACAAACATTATTATATTAGTGTTAAGTGTTTCCTTAACAAAGCCTTCCTCAGAAATAGATCCCACATTGCAGTTTCCACATCAATATCATACCTTTGCATGTGCAGTGTCTCCCAGAAACTTCACCACTTTTAGCCCAGAGGCTTCCACTTCGGGAGAATTTTGATTCTGAATAATGATTGATCTTCCCCATGAGAAGGAATTCGTTTATTTGAA